AAACTATTTAAATTGGAACAATTCACTTAAATGGGATATGAAATTTTTCTTGCAAATATATAAAAACAAAAAATCAAATAGCCAAAACAATTAAATTCGATATCACATACTATAATTATATTATTCCACTGTTCAAAATAACTAATAGAAATTTATCTTGAGTAAAAATTTAAATTCATCATGAATATGTGTAAATTCAATACCTAACATATATATAATCACTAGTTCGGAATTTTTGGAAAAAATATAATTATTGTTATTTGGATATAGTTTTCATATCAAAATATTTACAATTTAAAGTATTCCCATCTATTTAAATTATATAATTTACTTTAATTTAAATATTTTTGGTTTAAAAAGTCATTTTCCAATATAATCATGTTGCGGTCATGAAGATTTCGGGCGTAAGTGATTGGGATTAAATGCTTTTTTCATAGCTTTGCATGGTCCAACGATATCGAACCACAATAACAAAAGAAACAGAAGCTAGAACATCGGTCAAGAATCTATTTTTATTCGAGGAAAGCCCGAAGAGGAAATCCGATCGGGCCTCCCATTTTGGTAAAAATTCACTAACTTGAATGAATTGACAAGTGACCCGTCCCTTTCGATTTTAGAAGCGGTCGAACTGACATTCGTGATTTGAGAGAAGACAGACAAAGGTCGGAGATGGTATCGTATGTTCGCTTAAGGCCGTGGCGGACTATCCGACGAAGCCTGAAGTTATGCAGCCGACCGGCGCAATGTCTGACGCGCAGCCAATCTTGTCCGACGAAGGTCGCTAAAGTCCGGTTGCAGGGACCACGCGGCGGGTCTCGAAGCACGCGCGACGACGCCAGCGCGGCGACTGCCACGCAGCACGGCCGTGTGTCCGTTTATGGCGCGGCGGACCGCGCAAGCGCTAAAGCGGCACCGGCAGTGTCCCGACACGTGCGGCCGGCGTACTGGCCGTGGCAAAGCGGCACCGGGCGGCCTGTGTCCCCGGCAGGAGCAGGGCCCGGCGGTGCCGCTCGGCGCGCCGCGCTCTTTCCCGGCAACGCCGGCCCTGCCGGCGACAGGTGGTCCGGTTGCCAGGCGGTCTGGGCAGTGTCCTACGACAGCGGGGTGTCCTACGACAGCGGTGTCCTGCGCACGGGACCGGCGGTGTCGCGACAGGCGACACGAGTGGTGCAAAGCTCTTGAAGCTGCAAGCTCTTCAATCTCAAGGCAAAAGTCCCCTCAGTAAAGATGGGGGCTATTTATAGATTTCATGAGGGCGCATCCCGTAAACTAGAGAAAATCGGGACAGGTTCAGAGTGCTCCAGCATGGCTCGTATTGATTCCCCCGATCGTAAATTTTTTAACTGTTTAAGTCCTTAACATGTCGGAATTCAGAGATCTTGGGCTCGTTTGGATTCGTCCGCGAGACGCTCGATTTGACTATAAGCAATGCCATATTTGAATATCATTTCATTATCCAAATAATGCTTTAACCCTTCAATGTGGTCGCGGGCCCCCGATTTGGACCATTTGGGCTTTGGTTGGACAATTTCGTGATTGTTCGTCGTCCCTTAGATGTTCAATTTGATTGTAAGTTTGCTGAAAAAATTCTCATTTGAATATGCCTCGAGATTCGTGCTTGATCAAGGCAATTTTTTAGGACGTATCAATAATAATTTTTAATTTAGTAAAAAAAATTAATTTCAAACTATGTTAGCACTTAGCATATAATTACTTAAATTAAGTACTATATTTTGACCTATATTAAAATCGATGTTTATATTTTGTAATATAACGGTTTTATAATAAAATGAATTGACTGTTAAAAATAAATATAACGGTTTTATAAATTCTACGTCTTAGCAGCTCCTATTCATAATAAAATGAATTAGCTGCTCATTTATAAAAATAGTTCAATAATTAAGTACTCCACTATTTAATAATTAATTAAAATTAAAAAAAATAAAAATGCACAAAATTTTATAATATAACGGTTTTTAACAGTTATTAAAAATAATCACAAGCCATTTTATATTATTGTATTATTTAAGAATGTATTTAATAATCTCAAAATAGTAAAATACTATTTCAATACATTTATAAAGTACTTCCAATAAAAAATATATTTGAATGGATATAATTGTTGCGGGCTAGAATATACGCGGCGATAGAGTTAAAATTCTACGTCTTAGTGTTGCATGGATATCCAACTCACACACATAGAAACATAAGATTTTTTACGTGGAAAATCCTGTAAAATAGAAAAATCATGGGGAATGGCCCAGTTTGAAATGATTTCACTAATGTTTGGGGTAGATTACAATGGGATGACTCGTCCTTATGGGAGATCAATTTACAAATATGAACCGTATGTTAAAATCTAGTGTCAAATGTGGGTAAAAGTCCATTGTCACTTGGTAGTCCGGCGGAACTACGATGTTAGGCAGTTGTTTGGTGGAACAACGACGTCAGGTGATGGTTCGACGAAACTACAGCATCTAGCGATGGTCCGGCTGAACTACGGCATCTGGCGGTGGTCCGGCGGAATTACGGTGATAGGTGGTGTTCTGGAGAAACAACGATGTCATGTGGTGGTCTTGCAGAACAACGGTGTCTGGCGGTGATCCGGCGGAACAACGACGTCAGGTGGTGTTCCAGCTGAATTACAACGGCAGGTGGTGGTCCGATGGAACAACAGCATCAGACAGTGGTCTAGCGGAACAACGGTGTCAGGTGGTAATTCGACATATCTACAACGTTTGACAATGGTCCGGGTTGAATTACGACGTCAGGTGGTGGTCCGATGGAAGTACGGTGGTAGGTGGTGGTCTGATGGAACTACGACATCAGTTGGTGGTCTGGTGGAACAACGACATCAGGCGGTGGTCCGGCGGAACAATAGCGTTAGGTGGTGGACCGGTTGAATTGCAACAACAGGTGGTAGTTCGGTGGAACAACAGTGTCAGGTGATGGTCTGGCAGAACAACGACGTTAGGCGGTGGTCCGGCGGAACAACAGCGTCAGGTGGTGTTCCGGTTGAATTATTGCAGCAGGTGGTGGTCCGACGGAACAACAACATCAGGCGATGGTCTGATGGAACAACGGTATGAGGTGATAATTCGATGGATCTACAACGTCTAGCAGTGGTCCCACTAAACTATGGCGTCAGGCGGTGGTTCGGCGGAAGTACGATGGCAGGTGGTGGTCCGGCGGAACTAATACGTCAGGTGGTGGTCTGGCAGAAGTACGGTGGCAGGTGGTGGTCCGGCGGAACTACGACGTCAGGCGGTGGTCCGACGGAACAACAACGTTAGGTGGTGGTCCGGCTAAATTACAACAGTAGGTCGTGGTCCAGTGGAACAACAACGTCAGACAGTGGTCTGGCGAAACAATGGTGTCAGGTGGTGGTCCGGCTGAACTACGACGTCATGTGGTGGTTTGACAGAACTACGGCGGTGGTCGAGGAGGCAATGAAATAAGACCGATATTCGATCTCTCTCTTGAGTCCCTTGGGCTTATCTAACTCTTTTCAAGAGGGAGGAGGGATCTATTTTTGAATTTCCTGGAGTGGAATGACCCGTAAATAGGAAGAGGATCAAGGGAAAATGGGGAGTGGCTTGGATGGACGGCCGATGATGAATTCCTTGATCATGGATTGTTCGTTAAACATTTGAAGGTCTTAATGATGTCAGAATTCTGCGATCTTGGACTAGTTTTATTCATCTCGTCGAGTCACTCGATTTGACTATAAGCATGTTACGTTCGGAAAATCGCTTGGTAACCTAAATTGTGGTTTGAACCTTCCAACAGTTCTTCAGATATGTGATTTGGACCTATTTGGGCTCAGATTGAGTTGAATTTGGTGTCGTTGGGTTCGTATTTCTGAAGCATTCAGTTCGACTATAAGTTTGCTGAAATCAGAACTCAAATGGTCCCAATTTTAATTTTGGAAATTTCCAACTTGATTTTACATCGAGATTTGTGCCTGATCAAGATAATTTTTTGATGATATATCAGTTGCCCTCTTATTTTTAGACGTCGAAACTCTACAAGTCCTGAAATATGCGCCGCGGCTCGTGGGGTATTTCTTGGGTGATTTGAAATTCAAAAGTATTGTAATTTAGGGTGTAGAGGTACCGGACGGCCTTGAAAATATCAAAATTGAGTCTGAAACATCGAAAAATGGTTCCGGAGACTATAAAAAAGTCCAATTTGACCTTTTGAGACCCAAATTTGGGTTAAAAATATTCTTAAAGTTATAATTTAAATAAAAAAATAGAGTTATTTAATTAACTTATTCCTTGGTGGATGAGTGGATAAGTTTTTGGGTTTTTTGCTCAAGATCCTGGGTTCAAATCCTGTTGAAAGTGAGGGTTTTTTGTAGTGCTGATGTGGCACTAATATGTAGGGGCGAATCGATGATGTGGCAGTGAGACACAAGACTGGTTGATGATGTGGCAATGACACATAAGACAGGTCGACGACGTGTGCGGACACAAAAAAAACCCTCACCTTCAATAGGATTCGAACTCAGCACCTTGGGAAAGAAACCCAAAAAACTTATCCACTCATCCACCAAGAAATAATTGATATAATTAACTCTACTTTTTGTTTAAATATCAATATGCATCACAAACGAAGAAGATTATGATACAGACTTTTTTATCTTGAATCTTTTTCAAAAGAAAATATGATCCAAATGATGAAGAATAAATGTTACATTCATTAACTTAGCCACTGGCACCACGTCGCCTATTTGTATTGTACAAATTATAATTTTTTAGATCATAAGATCTTAATATGATTGCAACTTAATATTATCAATTTGGAATCAATCATACATAATTTGTATTTTCATATATAATTTTTTAGATCATAAGATCTTAATATGATTGCAACT